AGATGGATTAGCTCTGGACCACACTGCAGGCAAACTTCCAGATTCGGCTACAGAACCTGGAAGAGCCAATTTATCATTTCTTCCGTAAATCAAAAGGCAATTCCTACAAACAGTAATGATCAGACCACTCAGGATCAGCACTCATAAAATTAAAATTGAACTTTCCACTGCCTTGTGCAGCTGCCTTAAAATATGGGCTGTAGTTTTATCATGCTTTGCTTGGGATATTTCAAATAGTTTAGGAGCTGGTCAGGGTAAGAACATCCCAATTGTCCAAAAGGGCCATCAGAGCCACACATGGGGTGGTGCAACCCAGAAGGCTCCAGGGTTGACTGAGAGCTGGTCAGGTATTGCCCCTGTTTGGAAGAAGGGCTGAGGTACATAGATCAGTCCAAATACATACCATTTAACTAAGAAAAAAGGTTAAATGGTAATATGATCATGTTTTACAAGAGATTATCATGAAAAAGATTTGTGCTTGGAAAGGGCATAAGGAAGTTTCGTGCTTGTAAGTAGAAATCAAATGAACTGATAAGAGAAATAAGATGTCAGGTCCTGAAATTAGGTGTAACCAGGAGAGGGAAAAGTACAAGCCAGAAACATCACAGTTTCTAGATGATTTCAGGTCTTTAAGGCTGTGCTTTCTCTTTTTTGTCCATGTATGTTCCCTGTTCCACGTGTCCTAAGTACATGGTGTGAAAGAGCTTGGTACCTAAAACCAGGTAGGTTTAGAGGAGTAGGTTTAGATGAGATGTGAGGAAGAAATTCTTCCCTGTGAGGGTGGGAAGGCCCTGGCACAGGTTGCCCAGAGAAGCTGTGGCTGCCCCTGGATCCCTAGAAGTGTCCAAGGCCAGGTTGGACGGGGCTTGGAGCAACCTGGGCTAGTGGAAGGTGTCCCTGCCCATGGCAGGGGACAGGATGAGATGATTTTTAAGGTCCTTTCACACCCTGGGATTTTAGGACCTACATATAAACTCTGACAACAGGATAAACTTGACTAGCAGGATAAAATTCCTTAATGTCTCAACACAACAAAGCAGAAGCAAAAGTGAGGGAGAGAATTGAAGGGGTGAGGGGGAGACTAAGAGAGAAATGCAAGCAAGAAAGAAGTGGTTTCGAAGAGAATTTTTAAAGAGAGAGATGGAGGGCAGAGTTAAGATTGAGCACAAATCACTGCATGACTTCTGAGTCCTTGTTTTTTTTATATTACACTGACCTAATTAATTTTACATGGAAAAATATGTATCAGAGGCTTTTTCCTGGTCTTATCTTACTTTGAAAAAATTATTTCAGCTGTTTGCTCACCCATGGCAGCGTTAGCCACACCAAACCACTTTTGAAACAGTGACATTTTATGCTTAGTTTTTATGCAGCACCATAAACTTAACTCTGACAATCCAATTTCAGAACTGAACAGGCGAATAAAGAATCACAGAGTGTCCTGAGCTGGAAAGGACCCACAGGGATCATGGAGTCCAACCCCTGGCCCTGCCCAGGACACCCCAACAATCCCACCCTGTGCCTGACAGTGTTGTTCAAACACTCCTTGAGCTCTGTCAGAAAATACCAGGACTTGAGACAGTCTAAAGTTAAGGCCTTCCTAAGGTTCTTCCAAAGCTTGGTGGGATATTTCAGCAGGGAGGTTGGACTTGATGACCTCCAGAGGTCCCTTCCAATCCCAACCACCCTGTGATTTATGTCTTGCCAGTAATGAATCAGTAAGAGAATCCCACTTTCTGAATGAGCACCATTTCCTTTCATATTTAAATCTTCCTTGGCACTTTCCCAGGCAGGAATTAACCATGTGCTGCTTGGCTTACAGAAATGGATGGTCTGAGATACGATGTCAGCACATAATAAAAATGCTATTTTGGTGATTTTCAAATTTAAAAAGGTTAGGCTTGATGTCACTTAATTTTCTAACTGAGCAAATCTGAACAAGCTGGATCTGCTTTTACAATCTGTGCCTTCACAGATAGAGATTGCATATATTATTGATTCCATGAATGTGCTTATCTTCCAAGTTTACCTCTTCTTGTTCATTTATGGAGCACATGGGCTTTGTGAGGCACAGACACAACCCCTCAGACACAGAGCCCTCCTTCCCCTTTCAGTGCTGAGCAGCAGCAACACACAGAACACACCAGGAACATGGTGCAGGGAGCCAGGTGCCAACACCAGGGCATTTCTGAGGGTTTAATGTGTTTTTCAGACTAATTTATGGTGTCCTGGGGAGAGTGTTCCCATTGGGTTTGATGTTCTCCATGTCCTCTGTGGAAAGCACAAGCTGCTGGTTGGGAGGTCAAGTTCATTATCTGGTTCCTGGGATCCTCTCAGAAAACCCTCCCAAACCACACAGACAGAACCAAGCAGTCAGTCCCTCCACCAGCTACTCCTCCTCAGTCAGCTCCTCTAACAAGGCTGGGAGCTGAACCAGATACAACTTTCCATTTGGGAATGGAGGCATTTTCCTGCAATCTGGAAAAGAAAGCAGGAAATTCATCACACTTAACCTGGCTTGTGCCTCCCATGAACTCAGGCATTTCTGCCTAAAAGGGGGTGTCTCAAACAGATCCTCACTGTAAAATGATTAATAAGCTTTTATTGCCTCCAGATACCTTAATGAGTTTTGAGTGTCTTACTTTGCATTTGATTTTGCATATAAGAAAAAAGTTCAATCGCTTTATTTGTTGATTTAACCCCTGACAAATATTCTGGCTGCCTACAACTATGCAGGTTGCCTCAGTGAGATATTGTGATAAGCATTTCTTTCCACACAGAGTAAACTATTCTGGACAAACAGCACTCTGAAAAAAAATATATTTTTAACTATTCTAATGAAAAATACTGATCAAGTTACTGGGAAAGAAGCTTGGCCTCTTCAAAAACCAGCTAAAGACTTTTCTGTGAATTCATGATCCCCACTAGGACTGGAAATTAGTCTTTCATGCTTCAGTCACCTCGACAGTCACAACAGCCTTTGCTGCACATATGTCAGAGCAAGAGTAACAGTTTTGCCAATAACTTATTTCTACCTAAAGCCAGAATGGCCATGGGAGCTGCCAGAGGAGTCTCTGGCTGTGTCCTCCCCTCACGCCCCTTTTCCCCGTGCTGACAGCCAGAGGCAGAGGGGGAGAAGCTGGGACATCCACCCTCTGCTTGGGAGCTCCGCTCCAAACCCTTCAGCCCCCCAGGCCGTGCACAGATGGGGACAATACAGAGCCTGCAGCCCCTCCAGCAGCGGGTCCCACACCCCCTTGCTCTGCTGCATCAGCCGTCCTCCTGAAGCAGCACATCCTGGCAAAGGTGAGAAAGAGCTGACTCCACCAGGAAGGGTTTGGGAAGCAGTGACAGCAAAACGACTGCTCTAAGAAAATGTTATTAATCGAAAACTTGAGAAGTTGAAAGGTGGAGAGAAGAAGTAGAAAAATGAGAAAAAAAATTAAGGAGACATGAAGAGGAAGGGAGGAGAAAAGCACGTCTTCACCTTCCTATCTTCTTCCTGCAGTATCTCCCTCTGTTTCCCTTTCCTACTCCCGGTTCTCACAAGCATTCCCAACACACACTTGGGATGATACAGGACCCAGACCTCAGCAACTTTTCTTGGCTCGATGCAGCCTTAGCGGGAAGCGGCGTTTCACCAGCGTAGGTTTTAATGTCAGGGATGCTGACGGGAGGGGCGGGGGGCTCTGCTGGGGACCCAGCTCGGGGGGCCAACCCCCGCTGCCACCTCGGCAATGCGAGCCCGTTCCCAGCTGTGCCGGGTCAGAGCTCCCCTCTCCCGGCGGGTCCCGCGGGTCCCGCTCCCCGCCCGCCCCCGCGCACATCGCCGCTCCCGGGGTGCGGGGCCGGGGCCGCCCCGCTCCACCGCCCGCACCGCCCCGGGGCCCCGCAGCGCTCCCGCGCCCCTCCCGGGGCTCCCCGGCCGCGGGGGAACCGGCCCGGAGCCGCGCGGGGATGGGGCGCGGGCATGGGATGCGGGGATGGGATGCGGGGATGGGATGCGGGGATGGGATGCAGGAATTGGATGCAGGGACGGGGCGCGGGCATGGGATGCACAGATGGGGCGCGGGGATGGGATACAGGACTGGGCGCAAGGATGGGAGGCAGGGATGGGATACAGGAATGGGGCGCGGGGATGGAGCGCGGGGATGGGATGTAGGAATGGGATGCAGGGATGGGGCGCGGGGATGGGATGCAGGGATGGGCGCAAGGATGGGATGCAGGGATGGGGCGCGGATATGAGATGAAGGATATGGGGCGCGGGATGGGATGCGGGGATGAGGCGCGGGGATGGGATGTAGGAATGGGA